CTGCCTTTTATAAGTAAGAAAATGGTATTTGAAAAGTTTGAACCAGGGAAAAAACTGAGTCAGCAATATGTAACCTTTTATCYATTTTAAGAGGAAACGAGCTTAAAGCACTGATTGTCCTTTCTAGCTTTCAGAAGTTGTCTTCGTGAGACAGGACCTTGTCACTGTCTCACTGACAGGCACCGAACAACCCAAGGAAGATGGCCAGCTAGTAAGATGGCGGACAGGCACCAAAGTTATTTTCTTCTCTGTCCTCTGGATGAGTGGAACTATGGAGCAAGTGATGTGGAAGTAAGGGGTGCAACAGCTGTAGAGACAATCAATAACACAGACAGTTCTGGACAGAACACATCACTTGTGCTCATGTGATGAGCTTGTCACATCCTAATCCCTCGCCCCATCCCGTTTCACTTTTGGGAAACTTTAACTGCTGGTGTCAGCTATTCTGATTCTAAAATAGGATCAGCCCTTTACTACAACAGCCTTCTCTTTCTATTTATTGCATCTATTTGTAACTTGTGAATAAAGGCAGGAAGAAGCCTAATGAATTAAAACCTTTTAAGAACTGTTTTAAGGGAATTTTCTTTTCTGAAACCATTTGTACAATTTTAATATCTATTTCAGGATTATACTTAAAATATTTATTAGCAAACATACAGTACACAAGGCGACATTTTATTACYGTGACTGCAGTTCTTTAAGGGTTAATGGTATGTGATTTATACTGTGCCTTAATTGTTATGCTATTTAAAAAGAAATATTTATTTTGAAAGTTTTACTATGCTGTGCTCTAAAGAAAGCGACTTTAGATGTGACACTGTAAAATTATGTATTCATCTCATGGTATAAATTATTTAGTAGGCTTAGATGTAGCATATTAAATATTAACCTAATTAACTAAGGATGTTGACTTGGATTTATTTAAATTCAGTATGTGCACTGTATGAGGGTACTCTTAAATTAACACTTTTTTAGGTTTTTACATAACATATTGCTAGTTCATTCTTCTTCCCTCTCCTAGTTATTCATGTAGACCTCTCAAATACATGAGTGCCGTTTTCTCACTCATCTGTATGTAGACAGACTATTTTTCCCTGTGCTAGAAAATGCTGCTTTACATTGTCCTGTGAAACTACAATACTTGCAATTTTTATTCTTGACCGAAATGGAATTTAATATTTTACACTGTATTGGATTTTTTTATACTTGAACAATTTCATACAAGGGAAGACAGGATATAATTTTTATGGACTTTATCCAATGTCACTGGATTTATTTGAAGTACTCTGAATACTAGCCAGTGTTACAATGTAGACATGACTCTCCTGTGCATATTATTTATTCAATATGTATATTGCTTTACAACATTTCAGATCTCTTAATCTATTCACTCGTATTAAAACAATAAAAAAAGTTGTCTCATCCCGTCTAGTGTTGTTCTTGCCCAAATTGTCTTARATCTTGTTTGCTTAAAACTGGAGTGGCAGCCTTTTAGGTAGTTTTCCTGGTCTGTGGGGTGAATAGCAGCATATATACTGACTTCAAATACACAGACTGATGGGAACTGTATTACATTGAGGAAATTCTGCAGAGGAGATGGAGAGGATCCATTCTGAGGGTTTATYGTGAAATAATTTGGAATGCAAGGGACTTTGGGAGGTCTGAGATCCCTTGTGTCTTTGTCCAGTCAGGTCTTAAAAAATCCCCCATGTGGAGACTGAACAACCCCTCTGGGTAATCTATTCCACTAACTAATTATTCCCATGTCATTTTTTTCCCCCTTCTATCTAACCAGGACCTCCCCTGCTCATTACAGCCTTCATCTCTCATCCTTTGGCAGACAGCCCAGCCCTATCTTGGTAACCTTCTCTTAGGAACTGGAAAATTGCTGTTCTCTTCCATAGGCTGAAAAAATCCCAGTGCCTCACCCTCTCCTTATAATTCTCATTCTTCAACCTCCATCCGTCCTGCTGACCTTCCTTCCAGTGGAGTCCTTCAAGCCTGTCAGCAGCTGTCATGTACTGGGAGCCTCTAGCCAGCTGTGGTCTAATGAGTGCTGAGTAAAATTGAATAATCAGTCTCCTTGATCTGCCATCTGTGCTCCTGTTGATACAGTCTGATGCACTTTTCCCTGCTGCCAGAGTTCACCACTGACTCCTGTTCAGCCTTCCCCAAGTCTTCCACATCCTTTTTAGCAAAGCAGCTAACTAAGCCCTTGGAGTTAAGTCCATCTGTGATGAAGATGTTTGCCTCTTTGTCCCGACTGAATTCATGATGTTCTTGTTGCCTTAGTCCTCTGGCAAGTGTAAATCCCTGTGAAAGGCAGGCCTGATCTCTAGCATATCAAGGATGCCTTCCATTGAGTATAATCAGTCCACAGACCTGATAGCACTGCGTCCCATCTCTTCCTCCAAGTCACTGATGAAGGTATCAGACCAGCCAAACCTCCAAGGAACTCCACTGTAACCAGTGGTGACAGAGCGTGAGTCCTTTTGACCAATGATTTTTGCCTAGCTATACTGGACAGTTTGATATTGGATACAAGGACTCTCCGGGAGACAATGTCGAAAGCCTTGCTAAACTCTAGGTAAATTGTCTGCTTTCCTCTCTTTGACAGGTGAAGTCGCCTCATCACAAGAGACAATTAAGATGGTCTGGCCTGATTGACTCTTGTAAATCCATGCTGGCTGTTCATAATCACCAAATTCTCCTTCATGTGTCCAGAAACTTCTGCCAAGACGGTTCACCCCACGATTGTTCAGTATTTCCCTAGACTGTCCTGCATGCCTTTTCTGAAGGTGGGTGCATCATCTACCTTTCTGCAGTCACAGAARACATCCCCAGTCTCCATGACTTTTCAGTGATGATGGTAAGCAGCTTCAGAATGACAATATCCTTGGGTGCAGCCCAAGGTCTTACGGTTTTATGTGGATTGAGCTTCCTCAAGAGGTCCCTGAATCAATCCCCTTACACACCTGGTGGTTTTTTTGGTCCTTGACCCTTCCTACGAGTGAAGAGGTGTTACTAAAAACCTAAAGGTCAGGACACCTTTTTGCATATAGTAATTGAACTAGGAAGYAGTGAAGTGGCTGCTCAGACCCAGCTGTTGGTGGACTTGTTATTTGTAGGACTGCCTAACATTTCAGTGTCAGTCCAAGCCATTAATGACCAAAAGGAGTTTCTATCTGATGTCTGAAAGAAGGCTGTGTGAAATACATGGCAGTCATAGCCAGTTCTTGGAGGAATGGGGGGGGATGTTCATATAATCTTCATACTGAAATTCATCACTGCAGCTGTCACTCTGACTTGAGCAGAAGCACAGGCTTGGCTGCAGAATTCCAGCTGCTCTTTCATCCACAGAAAGGGTMTTTTTCATTTGCAAAAGAAAAAAGCAGTGAAATCTCATGAAGTGATAGAAAAGATTTTTCCTGGTCTTGGGGTCAAACTTCATTTCACCATGGATTATTATGAAACTCCAGAACTGGAATACTCACTAACATCCTGGCCTGATGCTGTCATTGTTCTTAACAAGTGCTTTGAGCCTGGTTGCTGAGAAGTGTTGCTGAACTGCCTTTTGCAATCTGACCTTAAATCTGCAGCCTTGCAGAGTGCGCTGTAGTGCTCATTCTGCTAAGAAGCATGTGAACACCCAGCAGGGAGGTGAGTAGAAAATAATAATTGCCATTTTCTACTCTGTTCTTCTAGTTCCTTACCTTGGTCTTGCTCCAAGGGGTTTGCCTACAAGACATGGTATCAAGTAGGAATTAAAACCTCMAGTCCTTCTSAGAGGAAGGCAGAGAACACTGATGGGCACACTAACCTTCTATTTGCTAGAGGATGAAGAAAGCATCTTTCCCCTACTGACATGTGCCCCTGACAGTGTCCTTGGGCCTTCCCCTACCTCCATCTGGARGTGACAGACATCTCAGGGTGGGGCGTGAAGGGGAATGCTTGCTGCCCTGAAGGGGTCTGTGTTGTGGTAAGCCACAATGGGAACAGAATAAAAGCTTATGACTCAGCTTATAAAGGTCAATTGCATGCTGGCTCTAACTTGGCAGAATAAATTTTGTCAGCAAAAATGTAAATATGTGAGCTCCACYAGCACACTTAGCTTTGGGCACACAACATGAACACTAATGCTTGTTTTTGATAAACGAGTATCTGAACAGACCTCTGTACATAAAATACACCTCAGTAAGACTTCATATATGTGAGATGCCAACTGTTCACATTACCAGGACCAAAGTAAAATAACTGAGAAATAGCAGCACATAATTAAGAACTATGTGAATACTCAGAAAAAATGTTAGCATTTTACTTGACAGATGGCATATATGCGAGCAGCAAGAAATTGCCCACAATACAACTTCCAGCYGACTCTCTAAAACCTTCAAAAGAGTTTCTATACTGAAGAGTGACCAGTGCTGACTTCCTTGCAGAAGGATGGAAAAGTTGAAACTAGGAACAATTGCTAAGGAATGTGTAGATTAAAAAAGGGGTAATACTTTCAAAGGTTACATTGATGACCTGGCTGCTAGAATTGCAGTTTTTCATAGTATATTTATTTTGCCATTAACTAGTGAACATAATTTGGCATTGCCAGACTTCACTGATTCTAATTTTTCTTGGATTTTTCCAACACATGAAAGGACTATATTAGGGTGCAAATAATGATGCAATCACTCA